ACCTGCCACTAACTATACCACTCCCTCTATGGGGCCCCCACCTGCCACTAACTATACCACTCCCTCTATGGGGCCCCCACCTGCCACTAACTATACCACTCCCTCTATGGGGCCCTTACCTGCCCCTAACTATACCACTCCCTCTATGGGGCCCCCACCTGCCACTAACTATACCACTCCCTCTATGGGGCCCCCACCTGCCACTAACTATACCACTCCCTCTATGGGGCCCTTACCTGCCAGGGCCAGCTATGAGGTCTGGCATCTTCACCATTCACCACGCGGCTGTTGGGGGCATAGGTGGGCACTCCGCACCCCAAGGCTGCAGATCACAACAAGAAAAATAGTTCACCAATCAACAGAAAATAAGAATTCCCAACCGGGGCCCCAACCCCCCACATGACAGCCCCGCATGGGGCCCCGACCCCCCACATGACAGCCCCGCATGGGGCCCCGACCCCCCACATGACAGCCCCGCATGGGGCCCCGACCCCCCACATGACAGCCCCGCATGGGGCCCCGACCCCCCACATGACAGCCCCGCATGGGGCCCCGACCCCCCACATGACAGCCCCGCATGGGGCCCCGACCCCCCACATGACAGCCCCGCATGGGGCCCCGACCCCCCACATGACAGCCCCGCATGGGGCCCCGACCCCCCACATGACAGCCCCGCATGGGGCCCCGACCCCCCACATGACAGCCCCGCATGGGGCCCCGACCCCCCACATGACAGCCCCGCATGGGGCCCCGACCCCCCACATGACAGCCCCGCATGGGGCCCCGACCCCCCACATGACAGCCCCGCATGGGGCCCCGACCCCCCACATGACAGCCCCGCATGGGGCCCCGACCCCCCACATGACAGCCCCGCATGGGGCCCCGACCCCCCACATGACAGCCCCGCATGGGGCCCCGACCCCCCACATGACAGCCCCGCATGGGGCCCCGACCCCCCACATGACAGCCCCGCATGGGGCCCCGACCCCCCACATGACAGCCCCGCATGGGGCCCCGACCCCCCACATGACAGCCCCGCATGGGGCCCCGACCCCCCACATGACAGCCCCGCATGGGGCCCCGACCCCCCACATGACAGCCCCGCATGGGGCCCCGACCCCCCACATGACAGCCCCGCATGGGGCCCCGACCCCCCACATGACAGCCCCGCATGGGGCCCCGACCCCCCACATGACAGCCCCGCATGGGGCCCCGACCCCCCACATGACAGCCCCGCATGGGGCCCCGACCCCCCACATGACAGCCCCGCATGGGGCCCCGACCCCCCACATGACAGCCCCGCATGGGGCCCCGACCCCCCACATGACAGCCCCGCATGGGGCCCCGACCCCCCACATGACAGCCCCGCATGGGGCCCCGACCCCCCACATGACAGCCCCGCATGGGGCCCCGACCCCCCACATGACAGCCCCGCATGGGGCCCCGACCCCCCACATGACAGCCCCGCATGGGGCCCCGACCCCCCACATGACAGCCCCGCATGGGGCCCCGACCCCCCACATGACAGCCCCGCATGGGGCCCCGACCCCCCACATGACAGCCCCGCATGGGGCCCCGACCCCCCACATGACAGCCCCGCATGGGGCCCCGACCCCCCACATGACAGCCCCGCATGGGGCCCCGACCCCCCACATGACAGCCCCGCATGGGGCCCCGACCCCCCACATGACAGCCCCGCATGGGGCCCCGACCCCCCACATGACAGCCCCGCATGGGGCCCCGACCCCCCACATGACAGCCCCGCATGGGGCCCCGACCCCCCACATGACAGCCCCGCATGGGGCCCCGACCCCCCACATGACAGCCCCGCATGGGGCCCCGACCCCCCACATGACAGCCCCGCATGGGGCCCCGACCCCCCACATGACAGCCCCGCATGGGGCCCCGACCCCCCACATGACAGCCCCGCATGGGGCCCCGACCCCCCACATGACAGCCCCGCATGGGGCCCCGACCCCCCACATGACAGCCCCGCATGGGGCCCCGACCCCCCACATGACAGCCCCGCATGGGGCCCCGACCCCCCACATGACAGCCCCGCATGGGGCCCCGACCCCCCACATGACAGCCCCGCATGGGGCCCCGACCCCCCACATGACAGCCCCGCATGGGGCCCCGACCCCCCACATGACAGCCCCGCATGGGGCCCCGACCCCCCACATGACAGCCCCGCATGGGGCCCCGACCCCCCACATGACAGCCCCGCATGGGGCCCCGACCCCCCACATGACAGCCCCGCATGGGGCCCCGACCCCCCACATGACAGCCCCGCATGGGGCCCCGACCCCCCACATGACAGCCCCGCATGGGGCCCCGACCCCCCACATGACAGCCCCGCATGGGGCCCCGACCCCCCACATGACAGCCCCGCATGGGGCCCCGACCCCCCACATGACAGCCCCGCATGGGGCCCCGACCCCCCACATGACAGCCCCGCATGGGGCCCCGACCCCCCACATGACAGCCCCGCATGGGGCCCCGACCCCCCACATGACAGCCCCGCATGGGGCCCCGACCCCCCACATGACAGCCCCGCATGGGGCCCCGACCCCCCACATGACAGCCCCGCATGGGGCCCCGACCCCCCACATGACAGCCCCGCATGGGGCCCCGACCCCCCACATGACAGCCCCGCATGGGGCCCCGACCCCCCACATGACAGCCCCGCATGGGGCCCCGACCCCCCACATGACAGCCCCGCATGGGGCCCCGACCCCCCACATGACAGCCCCGCATGGGGCCCCGACCCCCCACATGACAGCCCCGCATGGGGCCCCGACCCCCCACATGACAGCCCCGCATGGGGCCCCGACCCCCCACATGACAGCCCCGCATGGGGCCCCGACCCCCCACATGACAGCCCCGCATGGGGCCCCGACCCCCCACATGACAGCCCCGCATGGGGCCCCGACCCCCCACATGACAGCCCCGCATGGGGCCCCGACCCCCCACATGACAGCCCCGCATGGGGCCCCGACCCCCCACATGACAGCCCCGCATGGGGCCCCGACCCCCCACATGACAGCCCCGCATGGGGCCCCGACCCCCCACATGACAGCCCCGCATGGGGCCCCGACCCCCCACATGACAGCCCCGCATGGGGCCCCGACCCCCCACATGACAGCCCCGCATGGGGCCCCGACCCCCCACATGACAGCCCCGCATGGGGCCCCGACCCCCCACATGACAGCCCCGCATGGGGCCCCGACCCCCCACATGACAGCCCCGCATGGGGCCCCGACCCCCCACATGACAGCCCCGCATGGGGCCCCGACCCCCCACATGACAGCCCCGCATGGGGCCCCGACCCCCCACATGACAGCCCCGCATGGGGCCCCGACCCCCCACATGACAGCCCCGCATGGGGCCCCGACCCCCCACATGACAGCCCCGCATGGGGCCCCGACCCCCCACATGACAGCCCCGCATGGGGCCCCGACCCCCCACATGACAGCCCCGCATGGGGCCCCGACCCCCCACATGACAGCCCCGCATGGGGCCCCGACCCCCCACATGACAGCCCCGCATGGGGCCCCGACCCCCCACATGACAGCCCCGCATGGGGCCCTAATGTGTACTTACCCCCAGTGATCAGAGAGGACACAGTATATAACCCCGATGTGTACTTACCTCCAGCCGCCAGCAGTACGGTGATGAGAAGCTTCAGCATTGTGACAGTGATGGGTCGCCTCACCCGTCCGGCTTTAATACCCCCCGTTATCAGGGGTTGGCACAGGCGGTGGGCAGGGGCAGGTGGGGTCGGGCGCGGTGCCCAAGGCCGCCCCGTATGAGCCAAACTTTCCTGGACGCCGAGCCGAA